TTTAGAGATAGTTAAGAATCTCGATTTAACTATTGAAAAACTTTACAAATGGTTAAAAATCTCGATTTAGCTATTGAAAAATTTTAGAGATATTTAAAAACTCGATTTAGCTATTGAAAAATTTTAAAAGTAACTGAAAAGCTCGATTTAGCTATTGAAAAATTTTAGAGATAGTTAAGACTCTCGAATTAACTATTAAAAAATTTTACAGATAATTAAAAATCTCAATTTGGCTATAGAAAAATTTTAGAGATAGTTAAGAATCTCGAATTAGTTAGAAGTTCGTCTAAACATCACAAACGTGTTTCCCTCGCTAACTAAACGCGCTAAGTATCTTTTCAGCTCAAAATCGTCGTTTTTGTTGAAACTTAGGAAGTATTGTGCAAATTAATTTTGCACCTGGTTTCTCTTCGGAAATTTAACTTTGTCATACAAAGTTAGTCTAAACATCACAAAAGTGTTTTTCTCGCTAACTACAGGGTTGGTCTAAACATCCCAATCGTGTTTTTCTTGCGAACTAAACGCGCTAAGTATATTTTCAGCTGAAAATCCTCGTGTTTGTTGGAATTTAGAAAGTTTTGTGCAAATTTAATTTTCAGCTGGTTTCTCGTCGGAAATTTAACTTTGTCATACAAAGTTGGTCGAAACAACGCAATCGTGTTTTTCTCGCTAACTAAACGCGGTAAGTATCTTTTCAGCTCAAATCTTCGTTTTTGTTGGAATTTAGGAAGTTTGCTGTAAATTTATTTTTCAGCTGGTTTTTCTTCGGAAATTTAAGTTTGCCATACAAAGTTGGTCTAAACATCACAAACGTGTTTTTCTCGCTAACTACAAAGTTGGTCTAAACATCACAAACTTATTTTTCTCGCTAACTAAACAGAGTTCCAAGAGCATACATCGGCACCACAAAACGAAGCATAAACACTAGGATCACGGAGCACAAATGAAGTTGCAGATTAGGACAAATGGAAAAATCAGCGGTAGCGGAGCACGCACTACTAGACGGCCACCAAATACGCTTCGACGAAGTTGACATTCTGCACCAATCTGAAAGATACTACCCGAGAC